ACTATATAGTTATTTTCATAAATTCAGTAAGAATCTAGTCTCCTTATAACAGGGACACAATTGAAAACCTTGATTATATTGCTAAGACGTTGACTGGAATATCAAATATGAAAATGAACATATAATCAGATATGATCAGACAGTTTTAAGGAACTAAGGTTGACTTTATGGAGCCAAAAAGCCAACCTCATGCTTTGCTTATGTGGTTTCTTTAAGTGGTTGCCTTACAGATGAATAAGAAAGGTCACTTCCTGGCAGACCTCAGGTATATTGGGGACATCAAGAAAAGAATAATTCATCAAAGTCTATAGATATTGCAGGCAAAGTTGAAACAAGCCAGACAAGTTCTCTTTGTATTCTTGAGAGACTAGGAAAGTCTAACCTGAGATTCCTTATTAAAAGTTCCAGCAAAGCAGACTTAAAAAGAGCCTTTTTTTTTTTTAATTAAAAAGTAAACTTTAATGTCAAAAATGCAAACTTGGGGAAGACAGAAAAGATCACACACAGGACTGTCACTTCACACTTGGAAGGTTGCACAGTAGCCAGACAGAGGCACTCCTCACTTCCCAGACGTGGTGGCGGCAGGGCAGTGGCGCTCTTCACTTGCCAGACAGGGCAGCAGCTAGACAGAGGTACTCCTCATATCCCAGAGGGGGCAGTGGCTAGGCAGGGGTACTCCTCATATCCCAGACGGTGGGCAGCCGGGCAGAGGGGCACTTCACTTCCCAGATGGGGTGGCCGGGCAGAGGCGCTCCTTATTTCCCAGACAGTTGGGCGGCTGGGCAGTGGCGCTCCTCACTTCCCAGATGGTGGGCAGCTGGGCAGTGGCGCTCCTGACATCCCAAATGGGACGGCGGCCGGGCAGAGGCCCTCATCACTTCCCAGATGGGTTGGCCAGGCAGAGGCGCTCCTAACTTCCCAGTCAGTTGGGTGGCTGGGCAGAAGCGCTCCTCACTTCCCAGACAGGGTGGTGGCCAGGCAGAGGCGCTCCTCACTTCCCAGATGGGGCAGCGGCTGGGCAGAGGCCCTCATCACTTCCCAGACGGTGGGCAGCCAGGCAGGGGCGCTCCTCACTTACCAGACGCGGTGGCGGCCGGGCCGAGGGGTTCCTCACTTCCCAGATGGTTGGCAGCTGGGCAGAGGCACTCCTCACTTCCCAGACTGTGGGCAGCTGGGCAAAGGCACTCCTCACTTCCCAGACTGTGGGCAGCTGGGCAGAGGCGCTCCTCACTTCCCAGACTATGGGCAGCTGGGCAGAGGCGCTCCTCACTTCCCGGATGGTTGGCAGCTGGGCAGAGGCGCTCCTCATATCCTGAACGGTTGGCAGCTAGGCAGAGGCGCTCCTCACATTGCCGACGGTGGGCGGTGGGCGG